GCCCACTATTTAAGGACTGACAAAAAATGGTAGCAAGTGGCTCACATATCCAATCTTTAACCTCCTTCAAAACCCTTGAGGAAATATTATCTGGCCCAAGAGTCTTATCGGTCTTTAAACTTCCCAATTTTTTTCTTAATCAGCTCAGAATTGATGCAGTCATCTTGTGCAAGTGAGAAATACATTTTCCATTAATTGTTTTTTATATAAATGATAACTTAATTATATTTGAACGATAAAGCCTTTAAATCCGGAATAACAACTGAAACTAGTTTAACTGTATTTCATGATAGCGAGAACTTTGGGACTTTTTGGTCTTGCGACAAAATGTCAATGGTTTCATAGTACTTTTTCAAAGAATGTGACTGGTTCTCTCATATATATATATATATATATATAAATTAGTATGTTACAAAAGTGTGTGTGTAAGCTTATAACTAGTGAACTATTGGACATAAGGGTTAGCATTCAGATTTTAACACTTAGGTTGCCTCTGAGGCTTTTGTGTCTTCCTTGTGCAGTGTGCATTACATCTGTTTATAACTAGGAAATCACTTGATGGTTGACACCAAACTTAGCAGAAACATTTAAGGCCCCCTTGGCTGGAGATTAATATAGGAGTTGAAATTTGGATATGACCACCTTATGTCATCCCATGGGGGCCTCTGTGTGCTGAATGAGTATGTCAACTAGTATATATGTAGTATGATATATGCATAAAATTATCCTATGTCCAATGTAGCCATGAAAAGTCATGACACAGGGTATCTAGACAAATACCACCAAAAATGAAAACATAACATCTTTAACTCCTCTTTTGGAGTCAGGGGGTAATGAGTTGAAGGACTTAATTAATGAAGTCAGTGAAAACTCGTGTAAAGTTAATCAAGCACACCTGAACATCTTTTTGAAAATAAACTTGCAGCAAGTTAAGGAAAATAAACACTTTTCTAATTGCTTAAAATTATTGATTGTAACCTTCTTTTTTTTCTTTCTATTTCAATTTTTAAGAACCCTATTAGAAAGAAATGAAGAATTTCTCACATTGGAATAATATCTGGGGATTACTTTTTTGTTGTAAAAGTTTAACTATACAGTGATAAACTGAAATTAATATTATATTATCTGTGGTATTATCTTTTATACATATATTTATGCATTTAATGCACTATTAAGCACTGATATTCTTTTATTGGTTTTTATGCAAATGAAAGTACTTGGTTAGAAATAATAAAGGTAAAACAAAGGTTTGTTCAAAAATACCTATAGGACAATTATATTTAAGAAAGAAAGGACAACATCGCATGTTATTTGGTTAGCTTATTTGTTTGCAAAATACCTAAGTATGGTGCTTCCTTTCAAGTTTCATATTTATCAGGATGTATTATTTTATAAAGTATTAGTATAACATGGATTTTTCTGGACTTTGTCAGTTAATTTTTTGAGTTTTATTTAGATTGAAGTATATAAATAGTTTTTTGGTTGTTTTTTTTTCATGATGCTTTACTTACAACATGCTAATAAAATATATGCAATGTTATTTATTTTTCATTGTTTCAAGTTTAATATTTGTTTTTTGTGATATTGTAGACCTTGACTTAGTATTTTCAGTTATGTAATTACGGAACTGATGCAGAGTGACCTCCACAGAATTATTGTGTCTCCACAACCTCTTACTTCAGACCATGTCAAAGTTTTTCTCTACCAAATACTCAGAGGTAAGAGTTTTAACTAAAAACAGGGTAGCCTAGTACCATACTTCTTGTTTAAATTGATCAAGATTTATGAGTTCACCAAACAACAAAAAGAACAGCACAAAAAGCTTTAACAATTTATAAAGGTAAGAGAAATTGAGAATTAAACTCATATAAAAATTATGTCTCAGGTCTAATGGTGACCTTAAAACTACTCCTTGATTGATTGTGCTCAATGTGATGACTGTGATTACACACTTTCGACCAAAGTTTCTATTGCATTAAGCTTCAGCAAAGAATGATTATTTGAGTGGGAATTGTTTATCAGCTTGTTATTGGTACCAGGAGATGTGCCTAGTTTTATTATAATTGCCATTTGAGGTAGAGGGTTCTCCTTCATATCTTTAACTGTGAATGTGAGTGTTGCTTCAGATTGGCTTTAGTTGTGAAGCCCATTGTTGAAAATGTTCTGCTGTGTGATATTTTCGCTTTCATGAAGAACACTGAATACTTCCTTTTTTGATGTGTAGTCGCTTTTGCCTCTTACCATTTTTATATCTTGTTTTACAAATATTTTTCCTTGGAAAGTACAGTGATATGTCCCTCCAACCATAAGATACCTGTGGTAGCAGTTGTTAAACTTTTAAATGATGGAGAATTTGCTATGAACCAAATAAATAGCTGCTAAACATGGTGCCTTAGCTCTGACTTTCAGCAACATAACACTGAACTGGTATATGAAAAACATTTCTTATAAAGTATAATTAGCCCTCTGTAACAGTTTAAAGAGATCTTAGAACTAATAACAAAAAAAGTTATTCAGTATCACTTAATAGCTAAAATAAACCACAAGGTATAAAGAAGAATTGAGAAAAATGGTATGGAAGCTTGTAAACGTTTAAATAAATCTTAAAGGTAACAAAAGATAGAAAATATTAGTAACATGTAAAAGCTTAAACATCTCACATAATTAAGAGAAATAGTGAAAAGTTTAATAATGTATATGGGTAAAATTTTAAATAGATGTTAGAGCTAACCAGAAGACAGGGTAACATATAAAAACTTAAACGTATCACAAAGTTAAGAGAAAAACTGGGACATTAAGTAACAGAAGTATATGACCATTTAAGGTTAACTGAAAAGTATATAAAAAGATAACAGCAACTGAATGCAAATCTTAGTCTCAGAATCTATACAGTGAATATTTTCCACATTACCAGAGGGCAAATAAAACCTAACAAGCAAGCTACCTTACCTTGCTTTACTAATACAGTAACTCTCTTTAGAAGTAACCTTACCCTGGTTACCAGAGAGGAAATACAATGGACTTACAAGCAAGTTACTTTACCTCCTTTATCTTGTAAGAAGTGTTGCAACAGTAATATGAAAAATGTGACAGATATGAAAATGAGCCATAATGCTCAAATGTTTCATTTATATGATGTGTAGCAACAGTAAGTTCAACTTGTGACAGAAATTGTACTATACTACAAGTACTATATATCGTAGGAGAATATGTACGAGTATTCCAAACATATGGAATTTTACCTGCAAGAGGTATGACAATGATAATGTACAAATATTTTACTTGTAGGTGTGTCAGTAATAAAATAGATAAGCTTCATTTATGAGAGGTATGACAACGATAATGTACAAAGATTTTACTTGTAGGTGTATTAGTAATAAATTACATAGATCTCGTTTATGAAAGTTATGAAAACAACAATGTTGAAATGTTTTACCTGTAGGTGTGTTAGTAATAAAATACATGGGTTTTATTTATGAGGTGTGTGTCACCAAAAGAACATAAATAGGCTTGGTTTGCCGATAAGGTTAGAACTATTATATAATACACAGGTTTAGTAACATAAAAATTTCATTAACAATCAAAACAGAATTACATATTACACACATTATTAAGTATTCCAAGTACCTTTTCGAAATTTAGAATATTGAGAATGTCATTAAAATTATACCCTAAATGAATATATATATGTGATTATATACATAAGTTTATATTTTTATTAAACATTGAGCATAGTTTCCATTGCAGAAGTCTCCACCATAAGATCATAAGGCTATTATGTTCACAACAAACCCCTCCTCCCTGCTCTCCATAAGATGTCTGATGTATGAGGATGATGGTTTCCAACACTCATTGCAACAGTCAGATTGCACAAAAATCTATAGGTATTGAGTCCATCAACTTGAACACTATGTCTTTGTAATGAATATTATGAATGCATATTTTATCCACCAACTGCTCGAGGTATATGATGGTTGAACAGATATGTCATGGAAGCAACTTGTGTAGCTTTTCCAGATGGAGATCTTTTTTAAGTAGCATACTATTGCCTGGAGCATGTGGATGGCTTTTATGTTGTGGATTCTCATCTGTTACAAGATGCCACATTCTGCTTACAATGGCTGTGGTATGACTTGTTGCAGGTGTCTTTATGGATGGTTCTTGTGCCCCAAATTGAACTATGCTGCATTTTTTTGCCAAAGCTGTAAAAGAAGAGATATCTCAATTATGATCTGAGTGTACGAATATTTTCAAGATATAAATGACTATTTCATTCAGATAGTATTGATTAATTTAGTTTTGTGAGTGAATGTTTTATTATTGTTTAGTTTTTGTTAT